TGCACTTGGAACTTTGAGAATCTCCAAGTGTACTATCAATAGAATTGTAAATACCTTAGTGAAAAATTCTGAATGAAAAGTGCAAAGTTCCTCTCACCACGAATCTCTTTTTGTGTAAACTTTCTCGTTCCCTCCAACGGCTGGGAACTCTCAGCTGGCCGATTGCAGCATACAACCTTCTTTAAGGTTATACGCTCAGACTAGACCTCGGCCCCAAGGCATATGACACCTTGTGAGTCATACACCAAGCTACCTTTTCACTTTCTATGACTAAGGCAAGGGCTTCTGGGACCTTAGCTACTGTTGATAAGTTAGGCCATGACCCCAACCTCGACCTCAAAGACCCTTAAAGAAGCGAGTCTTTGGAGGCCAACAATCCAACACCGGCTAATGACTTTAAAAAAACACACGACAAACAATAAGTAAACAACAATTCTCTAATAAGGCAACCACTTGTGACCTCGGCCACAAAGCCCCTATGCGATGATGTGCTGAGCATAATGTTGGCCTCAGCCACAGTCGACTTCCATCTTTTTCACTAAGGTGAAGAGCTCCAAGACTAAGTAAAGAACGACTCGTGGTGTCAGCATCTACCTAAAGGACTCTAATACGGAACGTCCTCACAAAAAGACTAAGTAAAAGACATTTTGAGGTAAATGATTACTATGGCAAGTTTCTTTACAAAGATGCCTCTTCGAGGGGAGGCATCGATCCCTACCACAAAGCAAAAAGAAGAAAATAAAAGAAGTAAGGAAGAACATCCTTGGTAAGAAACTCAGGTTGTATTCACTCAAGTGTCTTTACAAGAAAAAGGGCTCTTATGAGGGAGGCGTCATCCCCTTACAAAAAAAGAAGAAAAAGAAAAATTTACAAGTATCAAGGGAACACAGGCCCAAACAAAAGAAAACAAGAAAACAATTTTATTGGCCCACTCCAGTCTAAGTGGTGGCCTGGGCAGTGACATTGGTGACTAGGTTGTCGTTCGTTCCTAGTATATCTACTACTCGGCTAGCTTCATTAGCGAACGGATCCAGCTCGCTTATGTTGAAGCTCGGAAGAACCTTCGTCACCTGGGCCTTGCAGTCCTCAAATTCCTCAAGGTAAGCTTGGGAAGCAAACGATGTCAGGTCTGTCTCATGTTCCTCTGAGGCCTTGTATTTTTCAACGACCTTTACGGCCGATTACTCTAGTTGTTGCTCCATTGAGACCAAGGAGGACTTCAATTCCTTCACAAGCTCTTTGTTATTGGTCGTCTCGACCTCGACCTTCTTGCAATGCTCGTTCTAGTCACGTACCTAGCTCTTGGCCGCCTCTCAACTAGATTGCGCCTCAGCCACTTGCTACTTCAGACACTCGATCTCCTCTTGCACCCACCAAAGTTGTTGAATCAGCACCTCGACCTTGTCACAAAGGTTAACCAAGAAACCATCTACACATACAAAAGGAAAAATGTTAGTCACATACCAAGAAGACCTTGACGACATGATGGACTCGAAGTAGTATACACATACCTTAGTGGACTTGTCCAATAGTGTGTTCTAGACCGAGTCCACCGAATATTGAGTCCAAGACTAGCGGTGTCCCTAAGGAGGACCATGTCGACCGCTAGCTGTCAGCCAACACTTGGGATTGATAAGGAATGATCGGTTCGTTGTCCCACAGATTAAATGACCGAGGCTCTGCCTGATGTGACCCACCCAAAGTCCCTCAAGCTAACGCTACTCGTCCAGCTAAAGCCTTTTCGCCTGAGGATCTCAGATCATTTCAGCAGGGCGCTTCTGTACTTGCGTCTTCCTACAAGCCTCCTCGGCCTTGACCTATTGTCTTGTAGCGCCCTCTTCCGGCTGACGCTGAGGCGTGCTCTCGGCAGATTCTTTCTAGACAACTCCCTTTAACACTACTGCGAGCAATTTCACCTTCTTGTCGCTCTCCATTTTTGCGAACAAGAGAAGCAAATGAGTTAGAAAAATGCCAAAAAAACTCAAGCAACTTTACAACTAGCAAATAGTGGGAAAGTCCATACTGAGGGGGCAAGACTAAGGTCGGCCATAACCAAGGCCTCCTCCTCCTTCACCAAGAATCCGGCGTGAATCATCCCGCCCAACCGAAGCTGAGTCATCACGGCCTTCTCCTCATCACTACTATGTGGCTTTATCCTCTCGATCAATGTATCTGATCTCTCCCAATCAGATCGAAAGGACCAACCGTCGAAGCAACTCACGAAGAAGAATTTCTTCTAGTTGTGGACAAACGATGGGTTGTCCACCACCCTTTGCTACTAGCCTTAGAAGTAAAACAAGCCTTCCTCGTTAGGGTGATTCCTTAGTGTGAACAAAACATTGAAATATATTTAGTGTTACTGTCACCTCTCGGAGATGAGCCATCACCAATACGATCACTATCGTCCTAACAACATTGGGGGTGAGTTGGCTAAGGGTGAGGTTGTAATGGGTCAGGATCTTGGGGATAAGGGAGTGCAAGGGAAACCACAGTCCGAAGTGAAGGAAATGCTCGTGGACGTACACCTCCCTTTCAAGAGCAAGCCATGGCCTGTCACCCACGCAAGGTACTCTAATCCTATAGTCCCTCGAAATGTGGTACCTCTTAGCCAACGCGCTAACTTGCACCCTGCCGAGAGTACTGTCAAAGTCAGAGTGAGGGGAGCATCCCAACATCACACCTCGACGCTCAACCTCGGCCTACTCCTTAGTTGTAGGCTCCTCGGCATGTTCCACATCCATCACATCAAGGTGCACAAGAATATTCCCTAGGACATCAGCCCTCGGCTACGTGGAATCGATGCTCTCATTAGCAGAGCCTGCACTCTATTTATCACGCTCAGCCCCGTGAAATGCGATTCTCTCCCTCAGCACTTGGGTGCTAGACATCTGAGAGGAGCTATTGGAGTCACTATTATCACTCCCATCACTACTAGGAGTGCTGCTAGGAGTACTCCAGTTAGGAAGGTTATACTCCTCACAACCCAAATTCGAGGCCGACATGTTGAGGACAGGAATCCTTTACCTAAATATGTTTGTTAAAAAAAGTTTAAAGGAATTGGTTGTTGATAGCCGAGGTGTCCTTAGTAGCTCCTAGGCAGAAGGTTTTGAGCAAATGGAGAGTTGCTTAACCACCCTCCCTATTTAAAGCAAAATGTATGGCTCAGATCCAATTGATCCAATGGCCGTGGACTTGCTGACTTGACAACCCGAACCGATGGGCTCCACGTGGCATCGACCTCGGGAGATGAAATGACGCCAAGAGACAGGGTCGGTTCACCCATCAACTCTGGCTCACGGATATGCCGAACCGGATCCCCTCCCCGCACCGTCTCGTGCACGACATCATCCAGTTGACTTCGACACTTGTCCTACATACGAACATGCAATGCTTGTCCTACGTATAGACATGTGACGCTCGTCCTGTGTATGATCATATGATGGGAGACATCAACACCCATGCAAGGCACGAACAACGGACATAGATAGCCTATGCCCACACGGGCCACGGTTACAAACCCTCGGCCCAAGGTGGTCCTTTACTGATGCAAAGGGAGAGCAAAGGAGCAATTGTCGCACAACCCCTAAGAAGAGCTTTGCATTCGAGGCCAACGTCTCCACGCAAGTACACTATACTCTCTTCGATCGTAGTCGAGACCTCAACGCAATGTGCCAAACAACCTCGATCGCTATGGTCTCGAGAGCGGGGGGCAAGTGATATAGTGGTATTCGGCCGACTCGTAGATCTTGACACATGGCATTGGCCGGACGCATTCCGGCTATCCCGCAGACCCTAACATGTGGCGTCGGTCGGATGTATCCTAGCCACCCATCACCAACCACTACTAACCGCCACACCTTCTCCTAACTACTCCTCTCAGTCTTAGGCAACTCCGACTACAAAAAGGGACTCCTCCGTTGGCCTCTAACATTGGAAATTATATTATTGCCCTCGACTCCATATTTTACACCAACACACATCATTAAGGGGTTGGTGATAGTAGAGAAGTCAATCAATCGGGTCTGGTTCTACAAAGGGTGGATCACTCCCGAATCGATTATTGACGACTTTTATAAAATAAACCTAGAAACTAACCAATCAATAATCGAGATAGTAAACTATTTAATTGTTTTTTATATATATACTACCTATGAAATTTATATTTTAAATATAAAATGTAACAAAAATTATAAAAAAATCAGGAGAGACCTGTACATTATTGATTATATATATATGTATACATTGTTGATTATATATATATATATATATATGTATATATATATATTTGATTTGGAGCAGCAATAACTGATCCGAATCCAAATATTTATAAAAAAAAGTATATCAAAAACAAAGATAGAATTGGTTTGGTTCGGATCTGACAGATAGACCCGACCCACTAGATCTAAGAGACGTGCAAGTGATGAGGTCCCATTGACCTTGGGGTTTGATCCGACGCCTCCAAATATGGAGGAACGCCGAGTGACCATTACAAGGTTTTGATCCTTCACCTCGATATTTGGAGGGACGCCGAGTGACCATTCAATTAATTGCCTGTCATTTTGGATTAGATAAGATACCAGATAGCAGAGAAGTGGGTAGGAAAAGTGAGTAAAACCCCGTTTACACAGCAGATGGCAAGTTGGCAGGACGGAGACAATGAAAGATCCACTGTAAAGACCTTCCCCATTCATTTAATCTCTCTCTCTCTCAGTCTTGCAAGTTGATCTATTAGGAAAAAAAACCCAAAAAAGAAAAAGATCAAGCTGTAAACGTAAGACCTTCCCTATTCATTAAATCTCTCTCTCTCTCAGTCTTGCAAGTTGATCTATTAGCAAAAAAAACCCCCCCTCCCCAAAAAAAAAAAAAAGATCAAGCTGTAAACGTTGAATGCTTCTTCAATATCTCTATCTACAGCGGCTATAAAAACATTAGCAAACCTTTCTCTCCAAGGCAGACAGGAGGCTCGGAGGCTAGAGCTGAACTGACCTCCACCACTCCTACACAACCCATTTCTTCCTTCCTGTTCCATCCTCTTCAGTCTGCAGACCAGAAGTGAAGGACCATTCATCTCTCCTGTCCTCTCCTCTTCATACATATCTGCACTACCCCTCAGCGACTCCAAGCAAACCAAACATGATGAGAAACCTCACCTATGTCCAACTACTCCAGGCTTCCTTTGCCACTGCTTTCTTCTTAACCCTCCTATTCCAGACCCCATTGGCTCACCTCATTCAGCTCCACTCCCACAACCCCACAGTCTCGCTTTCGTTGCCCGTCTGCCTGCTCATCTCCATTCTCTACTACTTCTACACTCGTCCATTCCCAGTTCTAATGTTAGACTACGCCTGCTTTAAACCTGACTTCGACCGTAAGTTCAGTTTAGAAGCGTGCCTGTATCTTGTTCGCCGGACTCAACGCTTCTCCTCCAAAAGCGAAGACTTCATGATGGGCATCTGTAATAAGTCTGGCCTAGGTGATGAAACCTACTTACCCAGCCCCATCGCCTTTCAAACAGAGAGCGGAGTGAAGTTAGAATCCGCCATTGAAGAATCCAAAGAAGGGATCTTCTCAGTCATTGATTCACTCCTCTCCAAAACCCAGACCGACCCACGACGTATAGACATCGTCATTGTCACCTCCGGCATTTTCGCGCCGGTTCCTTCCCTTACGTCCCTCGTAGTCAACCATTACAGCCTAAGACCAGACGTTAAAACTTTCAACCTCTCTGGTATGGGTTGTAGCTCAGGCGTCATTTCCATCGATATGGCCGCGAAGCTCTTGAAAAGCAGCAGACGTATAGGATACGCCCTCGTCGTCGTCACCGAGAATATCAGCTCGAATTGGTACTTTGGCCACGACCGCCCCATGCTCGTCACCAACTGCATCTTCCGTGTCGGTTGCGCTGCCGCGATGATCACGAACGATTCAAGCTGCCGCGCGGTCGCCAAGATGGAACTCGTCAACTCGCTCAGGACTCATCATGGAGCCGATGATAGCGCTTACACAGCAGCGTTTCAACTCGAAGATGAGGCTGGTAATCCCGGGGTAGCACTCAAAAAGGACCTGGTTCGAGTTGCTGGCGTTGGCTTGCGTGAGCACATCCGGTCGCTTGCACCCCGAGTTCTCCCACTGAGTGAACTCGTTTTGTACGCGTACTCGATCGTAATGTTTACGTTATCCAACGGGGAGTCGAAGCCAAATGTACCTGACTTCACAAAGGCATTTGATCACATCTGTATCCATACGGGTGGGAAGGCTGTGATAGAACAGGTGTCACGAGTGCTACTACTCGGCGACGAGGTGACAGAGCCGGCTCGGATGTGTTTGCACCGATTCGGGAACACGTCTGGTAGTCTAGTATTCTACGAGTTGAGTTATTTTGAAGCCAAGAAAAGGTTGAAGAGGGGAGATAAGATGTGGATGCTGGCGTTTGGGACGGGATTCAAGGTGTGTAGCCTGGTTTGGAAATCGCTGAGTGATTCGTGCAAAGAAATTGAAAATCCATGGAACGATTGCATTCATCGATACCCATTAAAGAAGTGGTAGAAGGTTTCAACTATCTCATTGAAATGGGTGTACAGCCCCGCGAAGGCATGAAACCAAAAAATAGTATATATATTATATATATATAAAAGGCGAAGGAAAAGCAGTTGTTATCTTTTATTATATATGCGTAATTAATTGGTAATTTGGAAGGTCTTATTGTTGGGTCATTATTTAATAATGAAGCTGATTCAAGGAGAGCTGCATATAATTTCTTATTTCTTAATTAACTACTGGAACTGTATTTATTTAGTTCCCCCAAAACAGTACCTTCTTGGTGTTCTTTTAAAGTCATTTTTACCTAATTTTGAGATTAATCGTGGGTAATGTGAAACATCTCAAATGAGGATGAGAATGGGTAATTCGTTTATATATATAAAATTGGGTAGTAATAAGTTTATGAGAATGTAGACGTGTGTGTTAATGAATACACAAGATATATTGATTTAATTCACAAAATCCCATTAATTAAGAAATCCATATTATTTTTCAGATTTATGTGGGGAATAGGAAAAGTTTCTTTTCATGTGTATCATTTGTCAGGGTAATTAGTGAATACCTCTTAGGTGGGTAAATAACTTTTCCACTTGAAGAGGAAAGTTTTCAACACTTGAATACAAAAATACCCCTTTTAATAATGGATTTTTATGACTAAAATGGTCATTGCCTTATTTATATGGGAAAAAAAAAGAACATGGGTAAATGCATTTAGTAAATCTTTCCTGGAAACACATACCTGGATAAATGCATTTATCTAATAATTAACTTACCAAAAAGCAAACAAGGCCCGAGAGAGAATCTAGATAATTGAGAGATGGCCAAGTGGGTGAGCAGATGTGCCACCATGTTTGCTTCCCCAAAAAAGCCACAATTTTTTTGGGTAGGAGGACCATGGCTAAGGGTGCAAGTTGAGCTGGGTTAGGTCAGGCGGTTCAGGTCAACCCTAACCCAATCTGAGTTGTTGAACCCCCACCCAAGCCTAAAATTTTGGATTGGGTTATGATCAGGTTGGGTTATGTCAGCATTAAGTTGGCTTCCATTAGTCTTAGGTTGACCAACTTCTCTACTTTTTTCTAAATGTATTATTTCCCTAGACTCGTTCATGTTAATTCAATATTAGTGTTACTATCTGTAAAACAACATGTATGTATAGCCTTTAAACTTAAAAGTTTTTGACATACAATATACATGTATGTACAGATAGATATATAAATACTTTTAGTGAAAAAATAATAAAAATGTGTAGATGTATACATTTATAGATGCATAGTTGCACATACATACATGCACGAATAGTTAATATACATATACATAAGTACTTATATGCATAGATACATATTTATATTAGTGTAACATCAAGTGCGCATCAAAATCAAGGCAAGTATCTACTTTATAGTATAAATATTTAAATTTTAAAAAATGCACCAAACTTTAATTCAATTTATGTCAAGTTCATACTCTTCAACCCTAACTCACCCCTAACCTAAACTTTAATCTAACCCGATGTCAGCATCCAAAATTGAACACGTCTCTCCCTTAAACTATAAATCACTTATACGGACACCTCATTTAACTTAGCGGACGTTACCAAAAGACTCTAAGTACCCTAAAATCCTTACCTATCAAATTTTGCCTTAAAAATCTTCGTTTTCCCTCAATCAAAGCAAATTCTTTTCTAACTCTTATCATTGATCAAGAGCCATAATCTCATGAATCTCCTAAATACAAGTTTCTTTAGACCTATTGGAGCCTGCCAACGAGTTTGAGTCACCTAGAAACTCCCTCTCTTGCCTTCAAATTAGGCAAGACTTGTCATTGGCATGCATAACTTTCCTGTGGTCTACCACTAACACAATAACCTCTCTAGAGGCAATCTTGGCCACCTAAATCTGTCAAACCCTTCGATGAGAATATTCCCTTTTTAAAACTTTTATCTAAAATATCCCCAAGAACCCTTAAAATATCCAAAATACGCATTCACCTTTCCTTTTACCAAGAAACCACTAAATTTACCCCATTTGGACTATTTTATCCCAAAGAATTCTCAAAATACCCTTCATCCTTCTTCCTACTCAAAATATCCCTGAATTCACCTCACTTAGACTATTTTACCCCTAAAAACCTTCAAAATACCTAAAATACCCTTCACTCACACTCTTTCTCTCCAAAGTACCCATATTCTTACCACCTTTAGATGCTTCTACCCCCAAAAATTTTCAAAACAGCTAAACTACCCTCAGTATCCTTTTACCCTAGAATGCTTATGCTTATCAAATTTCTAGACCCTCCTACCCAAAATACCCATCAACCTTCCTCTTACTAGAATACCCCAACTTTTACCATTTTTGGACTCTCCTACTCTTAAACTTTTACAAAATATCCAAAGTACCCCCTCAACCATCCTCTCACTAGAATACCCTACTTTTACCACTTTTAGATTCTCATATCCTTAAACTTTTTCAAAATACCCAAACTATCCCTACTTGGACATTATAAACAGGGGATGAGAGGAAGTAAGAAGGGAGGCCTTGGGGGAGAACCTTGGGAATCAAGCTATCCAACTCCTCTCATGACACATTATTCTTGCCACCTTGCCATTGCTGGTCAGGAACAAGCTTGAATGAGGATCTAGGCCATCACCTCTTCTCAAACCTGCATTTGCCAACCTCTCTTTCCCTAGCACTCATCCCCTTTGTGATCGGTTCTAATGATGCCAAAGGACTTAATTGAAATCATCCATATTGGAGGGAGATTCAAAATTTCAAGAATCTCTCTCCTCCCTCTCTTGTTTTTGTCTTTTCCTCTTCCCACTCTTAAGTGCATGGGAAAACTCCTTGACCCACATTGCTTGGGAAAGGAGTGGAAGTAGAGTATATCTATAATTTTGCTCTCTCTATGGGTATGAACCCATAAGAGGAGAGCACTATAGATATTTCATGCATGTGAGGGGGTTGGGGTGCTTTTCTCATGCACATGCCGAGTAGGGCCAGGCCGGGTCGGGGCGTGGGTGAAGGCACGAGTGTGGGTGCAGGTATGTGTACATATACGTGTACGTATGCACGGTACATCGAATAACATTTGCTTTTTAACCGGATTTGAACTTCAAATTAAATGTTTTTATGTCTACTCGAACAGGTGTTTGTTCGAATTTCAAATTTAATTTTTTTAAATGTTTTCTCTTTCTCTTTTCATGTCTCTTCCTCTCTGTGCCTCTTTGAACAAGCGCAATGTTCTGAAGAGGCTCCTGTTTGAAAGGACACATTTTTGTACATTCGGGTCTGAGACCAATCTATAAAAAGGGTGTTGGTCAACCTAGTTTTCACACATCAAAATTTTCGACAGTCTTCTTCTCTGTAAAATCTAAGTATCATCCTTTTGTGGTTCATGGAGGTCTGGTAAGTGAGTGCATGCCTACCAATAGCCTATGGGCTATTTTATCTTGGCGACTGATTTGCCATCACCCGATTGCACCATAGGGGGAAAATGTGGTTTTAAGGAGAGTGACCAAGTGGCACAACTCAGCCCTCCTTCTCTCTACAACTTCTCAGTTTCGCAATTCTGCAACAACACACTCCTTCAAGTTCTAGTTTTAGAAAGCGATTACTGATAAGTTACATTCTGACTTCTTTGTTATTTCACAACATTCTTAAAATTGCATTTATGGAACCTATATCTACTAACCCTTTCATGAGAAACTGGATACTGTCAACAGTTCCCGATTTCTCTAAGATTGAATCCTTCAATGGAACCAACTACAAGTGTTGGAGATAACGCCTGTTCTTTGCCTTAGAGCAGTTAGGAGTAGCCTTTACTTTGACTGAACTGAACCCATTAAACATGGAGGAGCCAGCCCGTTCTGTTATTGTAGAACACAGGAATACAGCCAACCACCTCCGCACTAACCATATCCCCAACTGCATGTCCAATGAACTGTATAATGTCTATTCTTCCTACAATTATGCCTATGAAATTTGGAATGCTTTGGACAATAAGTATGCTTTGGAAAATGCTGAAAATAAGAAATATGTAATTGCCAACTTCCTACACTTCACCATAAAAGAAGACATGGGTGTGTCTGCCCAAATAGATGAGTTCCAGGTTCTTGTGGGGGAACTAGCAAAAGAAGGTGATGAAGGGGAATTCGGCCCGACCTCGTAACAGGGAGACACGTGGGTGTGACTTGGCATAAGAGACAACTCAACATGATCAGATCGGCACGTGGGCGTGACTCGACACAAGTGATAGCTCAGCATGATCAGTTCGCTACAAAGCGACATCGGGTACCCTGATACCCCGAACTAAAGCTATCCCGAACTGAGATCACCTTGGTATCAGGTCGCGACCAGGGTAAACGATAGCAAGTCCGCAATAGGACAAACCCGGGCAGATGGACCACCTTGGAAAGAATCCACCTCGAGACAAGCCTATCTCGGTGCAAGATCATCAGTACTAAAGCACTTTGGCATTCAGAGCAGGTCGAGTCTGAAGGATACAAGCTCAGACAGCTCTCCCCTAGGCAGCTCGCCACCAAGTAGCCCACTTCACAGGTAGCTCGCTATCGAGTCAGACTGACCCCTGCGTGACAACCCCAAGGATCTCACCATCGTACTCCGCATTTTACGGGATTATGACTCGTAACGGATATATTAGCTCACCCACTCCCCGATTCAGACGGGAGCAGGCAACCTTACCAGCTGGTGGTGTTTTACCCACCTAACACGCAAACGGATCCCATCACAGCGAGGATCCAAGAACTGCTCCACCAACCCACGGGGACTCCAGTATATAAAGACTTCACCCCCAGGGGCGAAGGTATGTGTTTTTAATGTGTGTGTATGCGTAATCTTTGCTCTCTAGCTCTCAAACTCACTATTATCATCTTCAAGCTCTCTACTACTACTACTGTGTGCAAACTTAGCCATCAGAGTGTCCCCGCCGGGTAAGCCACTCCGGGATCTCTGACTCCTCTCTTGCAGGTTACCCCAGTTCTCGTCATTGCTAGCAGCCAGGTTGTCTCCAGCAGGAAGCAGCCGGGTTAT